AAATTTTAAAGAACTGTGCTTTTTTACACATACACGCAATGTGAGAGCTAAAATCTCTTCTGGAAACATTTAATAACCAAGTTGCTTAAGTTGCAGTCATACTTTACGGAAATGCAGGTCATTGTAGCGTTCAGTTGTCTTGCCCGAGTTAAGTATGAATGACAGATCAGTTGACTGGTAAAAAAAAGAACTGAACGAATTTCAAAGTAACTTTTCTTTTTCTTCAACTTGTCTGTCTGCCTCGACCTAATAAAAAGTATACTTCTACATATCTTTGTTACTTAACCGATCAACCTATCAACCGTGGGTGCATGAAAAGCGCATGAAATATGTGTTCATAAATACCTTCATATTTGACCTCTGGTCTTGGGTTGTGTCCTTGTCCGGAGTCTATCACACTTGCATATAGTAATAGCACAAAGTATAAGCCGACACCTGTCGCCTTGAACTTTTTTCTCATCTTCGTTTTTCATCTTCTTCGCCGCTTCTTTTCGAGTGAAGATTGATTACAATACGCTTGGCCGAGCTACAATCTCACTCCCCTGCTAGGGATGTCAACTTTTATTGACAGTAACCAGCTGTCATAAAGGGCCGTGAGACCGCAAATAAACGAAATCAATGGTGCGTTGATATTAAAAGGTGTTTTGATCAATATGTCATCGGAGCAGGACGCCGTTTGTTTCAGTGTTATTGCTCTCAGTTTGCCACCTGTTTTACTGGGCTTAACAAATTGTGAATGAGAAGTGATATATGATTCTTATAGCATGAATTTTTGGTTAAAACGCTAATAATGTCTGTCAACCAGTGTGACAATATAGTGAGATCAGAATGGATAGAAAAAGAACTCAGAAGATAGACGAACTCAGAGGTATCTTCAAGGTCCTTCAACTGTTGAGTTGAATTCTCAATACGTTCATGTTTCTCTTCTGAGTCAGCTACATTTGTAAGAAGGCGCATGTACATGCAGATTACGTGTGTGGTTAGGCGTGCATGCGCTGTTGAACTGGTCCGGAGCGTTGTCTACATCGATCTCCACGAATTGATCATGGCTCAGCTCTCATTGATATTATGCTCTTTGTTCCTGTTACTACAACATGTCTTACCAGCTTCATCAGACAGATGGATCTTGTTGGCCCAACAGTTCTTACAGCAAATATTCTCTGGAGACCTGTGCTTCTCCATTCATCACCTTGATTTCATTTGTTTATGAGGTTTTCAATCGATTCCTGGTCTGTCGAATCTTGTAAATCACTCCTTCCGATTTTGCCGATCATGATTAAATTTGAGGACTATAGTATTTATAGTCATCATGTTTTGTAATCTCCGTATATTTGCCTGTGAGCTACAGTCCCGTGGATTTTACAGATTAATGTGATAAATAACGCGTAAATCATTCATCACTTGACCCTTTTTCCATATAAACAAGCGCGCGCTAGCCCTGTAATTCTCGCCATTTTTTAACCCCAATTCAAAGGTCTTCTGTCAGGTTTCAAAATTTCAGAGCAACGCCCCTACTGATGAGGACGGACCAATGCACTCTAACCTCACGAGTCGCCTACTACCTCTCGGAGCGAGAGGTATTCACTGCTTAAAAACAGTAGAAAACAAGTCAAAATAATTTTCCTAGCCCTAAAACACAATAGAGGTAGTGTTTACAACGAACGAATGAAAGCGGAAGTCCCGGAGAATGTGTCTCACTGAGATTATTAGTATTATTATTATATTACTATTATTAATAATTTTCACCATGCAGTCATGCCTCTCGAGGAAGGTTTATCAATCTATCGGAGGAGACAACTTGCTACGATACTCATCCGATTCTCGTTGTCTGCTTATCTTTCAGTTCATGATTAACTTCGTCAATGAGTATTGCATGACAACAGGTGGTTAGAGGAGGATATTTTAGAATAGAATTTTTATTATAGGAATTCATCAGTTGCCCGGCTAGCTCAGTCGGTAGAGCATGAGACTCTTAATCTCAGGGTCGTGGGTTCGAGCCCCACGTTGGGCGAAGGTGTTTATTTTGTTTTCAAAATCCAGAGTTTTAAAATGAGTTTTGCAACCGTGATTTTTAATAATTAGAAATTAAAGGAGGACATGCTAAACTTTTACATATATGCTGTTGTTATCGAACTAATTTTGGAAAATCGTTGCGAAATCCTTGCTAGGGAATAGCTATTAACTTACAAACGGGCCAATATTTCAGATGATTTTAACTGATAACTGACTGCAGATACTTTATAACTCAGTTCAGAATCTTTGTTGAGTCAACAAGTGCCCGGCTAGCTCAGTCGGTAGAGCATGAGACTCTTAATCTCAGGGTCGTGGGTTCAAAACCCAGATTTTTAAAATCAGTTTTGCAACCGCGATTTTTTGTTTTCATAGTACCAACCATTCCCGCGTTTCCGTCATATGCGAGTTACCATAACACGTTTAAGGAGGAGTTAAACTGAGTTACCAATGGGGTGTCATACTTTCTGAAAATGTCGTGGATGAAGTGGGATCTTTCGACGAAGATTTATGATGACAGAAAAGACTGTTATTAGATATAATCCATCTGGAACTGTGTAATAATCTATTTAGGAAAGCTTGATTCTCATCAGTTTTAATGTATAAGTAAAAGACAGTTTGGATTGCTCTGATACTGTTAGGGAAAAGAAACTTTAAAATGCTATTTGCCCGTTGTCAGATCAGGTAAAATGCAATGTCATGGCCATTGGCAGTGAAGCGTTTCGATGGAGAGAATTGTAGTCTTGACAGTTAATGACAGGCAATAAATTCACACAGATGAATAGGAATTATGCCAGTTTTATTAAAAAAAAATATATTTATATATTATCGTTGAAATTCCATTATTCAAAACAATTGGAACCTCGGGAGCCATTGTGGCATGACATGATTTCTGGGCTTATCTCACTTTGTTCTATACTATCAAATCACAAACAGCTTTTGGGCTTCAGTTTTAAAAATGAAAATCAACGAAACGTTTCGACATCCTGTGGGTCTAGATGCATTAAACCCTTCATTAAAGTACAAAACGAGATTTCCTCTGATGAAACTAAGCCTGAAATTATGTTATGATCACTTGCATGCCGGCAGACAAGTCATCAGATGAAACTGGGCAATGATAACTGCTATTGACAATCAAAGTGATACAAAAGACTAATTATCAAACGCAAACATGGAATTACCTTTCTTGCAACGTGCAGATGACAACTGAAAGTCGATTTGCTTAGATCGAATTAATGGACAAATCCTATTGCAAAATGGAGCAAAACCTTGACAGTTTAGCTTGCGTTCTCTAACCATCGCTTATGATTCGATTTTACGTGCTTTGATTGTTCATGTCCAAATCTGTTCTTCTTGCCCTTTTCAAAGTCTTTCCGATTTGGACGCTTAAATCTCGAGGGAAGTTTACTTCTTATACTATTGTCGCTTTCCTCGCTTGAATCTTTGTCACTATCGTCAACGTTATCACTGTCATCATCAACATCCTTACCGCTGACGCTTAGTTTTGAGTTCATCAACTTGCTTATACGGACACCATCATCATTGTCACCGTCGTCGTCATCATCTTTTTTCCCGACCCCAAGTTTTGAACTCATTAATTTGCTTAAACGTGTGTCATCACCATCAACATCGTCTTCATCATCATCATTACTGCTGACGCCAAGCTTTGCGCTCATCAATTTACTTATGCGGCCGGCGTCGTCATCACTGTTATCTTCTTCACTCAGCTGTTCGTCTCCCTCGTCCTCCACCTTAGCGACGTGGTGGCGAGCTTAAATTTGAGAGACATGTCAGTTATGTGGTCTGATGAACGGAATATGCTACCTTACTTCAAATAAACCTACTATATACAGTTGAACCATCACTTATTAGCACTTCTTAAGATTACAATATTATGGATTCGTTATCTGTACCCTGTATAGCTGGGGTTGTGGACATAGACTGTATTAGTGCCGTTTAGTCGTCTACTTAAAAAAATTGTGATAACATAACGCACTGAGCTCTCATTTATCATTATTAATTATTAATTATCATTAGGTCAGGTGTTGTACTTTTAAAACTTAAAAGTGACGTCACATTTTTTACCGGCTTTTTATTTTCCAAGGATAGTGACGCTTCATTCATGTCATTAAAGTCAACAAAACAGCGCTTGTTGAAAAGACAGCACAAAAGTTATGCTTACATTAGAGACGCATGATACACATGTCATTTTCTCTTGCACCATGTCTGATTAATTTGTTCACAGGCTGGATTAATTTACTTCTTTAAAATATTTCAAAATTTAAATTATGTCTGTAAATAGGCGCCCGGCTAGCTCAGTCGGTAGAGCATGAGACTCTTAATCTCAGGGTCGTGGGTTCGAGCCCCACGTTGGGCGTATCGACAAAATTTTTTTTTTTTTTCCTGATGCCGTCCTTCTTTCCCAGTGCAATAATGCAAGCCACCTGGTGCAGCGTATGTGCGCTGGTTGGGCAGAACACAAAATTATAAAACAAAACAACATGCACTTCACTGCCAACCTCGTTCCCAGGCCTTTTCCTGAATATTTAATTTGCAATCACAAGATTTCGTGGCCTCCTGACAATCAACAATTTCCTCAAAGAATATTTTACGCTTACATTAATCTAGAGGAAGTGCTAGCATGTAATGTCAAGTTGCTGTTTCTTTATCTATTTGTTGAAATGGTTAGTTGATTTCCAAGCAAAACTCTTGATAGTAATTTGACAATGCGAGAAAACAACGGGGGTCTACAACTGGGATCAAGCCATCTTCATAATCAATCAGTTTTGTAATCGAAATTGATTTTACTAGATGTTCTCTCCGATTAGAAAACTGGGGTGTGACTTTTACAACTCCCACTACTGTTCCCCTGGCACACCGTAAAGGTATTTCTACGCTCAGCTGTGATATAATCCTAAACAGTTGGCAGTTAGCTACTGCAGAAAAACCAAAGCATTCAACTAAGTTTACGGACCTTTGCAGCTATCCATCCTTTGATTGAAGGAGTTCACGAACATTGCTTTACATGTGTGCTCCACCAAACAGCGTGCTGTTGGATCTTCCTTACAAACGGCCCCGCTGCAAGGGTCATAGCCACAGATGTACCTAGCGGGGACCTTAAACACTCCTGTTAACAAAAATACACAAATGAAATCGTAACTTTGTGGTTGGTATTTGAGATAGTTGGTGCAAGCGTCAGTAACTCACTGCCCGATGTGAAAGTGCTTCATGTAGGCCATATGACATTTTGTACTGTTTTTTTTTTTTTCTTTTTTTTTTTTTACTTGAGTTCTATCAGTTTTGCTTTACTCTTACGGATTAAGAAAGGAAAGTGCAAAACAACCGCAGATAAAGCATTCTAACCAAAGCAGTGATACAAAGTGACAAATTACTTCTTGGTAAACAAGCTGGTAAGCACATTTAATAGCCCTTGTGAAAATGCTTGGTCTTGAAACAGAATCAGGACTGGGCGCAGTGACTCAACAGCAGGTTATGGTTATCATTGCATTAATGAACGTGTTACCCGAACAGTGCCCGGCTAGCTCAGTCGGTAGAGCATGAGACTCTTAATCTCAGGGTCGTGGGTTCGAGTCCCACGTTGGGCGCAAAGAATATTTTGATCCTACCGTCTGTAAAACCTTAAAAAAACCTCTTTTTTTGTTTTGATAGTTCTGAGTCTTAATTCAGTGACGTTATACAAAAACACTGTACAGTGAATCCTATTTCACTTTAGAAAACAGTCCTAAGAAAATACGCGCGCTGATTGCTAAAAATCGTGTTTCTATAACTCGATGGGAACACAGAACAAGCACGAACAGTTGACGTGATGATGGCGCGAGCAAAGGGAATTTACATTTTGATGATCAAAGTAAATAAGCTGTTTTTCTTTTTTTCGTCACTTGTGAAAGTTTGGGAGAGCTCGAAAAAGCTGTAGAAACACTCGCCTGCGGCTCGTGTTCCCACAGCATTTCTCGTTCTCCAAACCTTCCACTCGTGTTTCTATAACTCGATAGAAACACGGTACATGCTTTCTATTTCTTAATTGTCTAGCCTAAAAAGACGGATTCTCGGCCGGAGGAAGAGTTCTAGCGTTTCAAATCTTGTGTTGTGTTTTATTGGTTTATTCAAATATTGTTAGAGAAACCGAACATCTATCCCGTCTTTTCTGCCATCAAATCTCAGTTTAATTAGTTGTAAGTATTTCATTTCATGGTTTGTTACCTTTGCACTTTATTGTCTTTCCAAATGCATCAAGAAAGACTGGATGACACCTCGTGTTCACAACACACTTAGCAGCCGCGCCTTGAAGACACGTGGTATATTTGCATGGATTAAAACGACAAACAGCCTGCGGGTCCACATTCAGGTACAGGTTATCACCTGACGAGTAATTAAATACAGATTCATAATTATAACTAGCATCTGCAGTAAAAAATGTAGCTTTCCACTTGGAAAGACAAATGAACAATTCACAAAGCTTTCAATTCAAAAGAATGATCATCATCGATTTTCTCCTAACGACATTGATATTAACTGTTAAGCAGGCAGATAATGACAACTTATCAACTAGGCCAGGAACGTATATTAGTAATATTATTTTCATAACTGACCAGTGGCATGGTAAAGAGAGTAATGACAGGGCCATTTCTGTATCAGCTTACCAATATCAGTTTTAATTAATTAGAAATTAAAGCAGGGCATGCTAAACGTTTACATAAATTGTGTTGTTATCGGACTAATTTTGGAAAATCGTTGCCAAATCCTTGCTAGGGAATAGCTATTAACTT